ATGTTGGCTAGCACTATGGAAGAAAGAGACTTGGGGGTCATCATTGACCACAAGATGAACATGAGCCTGCAATGCGATGCTGCGGCTAGTAAAGCGACCAAAACGCTGGCTTGCATCCATAGGTGCTTCTCAAGCAAATCCTGGGACGTCATTCTCCCCTTGTACTCAGCCTTGGTGAGGCCGCAGCTGGAGTACTGCGTCCAGTTTTTGGCTCCACAATTCAAAAAGGATGTGGAGAAGCTTGAGAGAGTCCAGAGAAAAGCCACACGCATGATCAGAGGTCAGGGAAGCAGACCCTACGATGACAGGCTGAGAGCCCTGGGGCTCTTTAGCCTGGAAAAGCGCAGGCTCAGGGGTGATCTGATGGCCACCTATAAGTTTATCAGGGGTGACCACCAGTATCTGGGGGAACGTTTGTTCACCAGAGTGCCCCTAGGGATGACGACTAGGTCGAATGGTCATAAACTACTACAAGACCGTTTCAGGCTGGACATATGGAAAAATTTCTTTACTGTCCGAGCCCCCAAGGTCTGGAACAGCCTGCCACCGGAGGTGGTTCAAGCGCCTACATTGAACACCTTCAAGAGCAAACTGGATGCTTATCTTGCTTGGATCCTATGACCCCAGCTGACTTCCTGCCCTTTGGGCAGGGGGCTGGACTCGACGATCTTCCGAGGTCCCTTCCAGTCCTAATGTCTATGAAGCGGGGCAGGTAGCTGTAGACCGAGTGCCTGTATCCTCTCTCTCCCAGAAAGGTTTCTAGTCATGGAAACTTCTCACAAACAGGTCATCCTAAATTAGGCTCTGTATTGCAGTGCATGGAGAGAGCTAGATGCTTCTAAGTAGGATTAACGAGCACCATCATGTTGACCAGGGAGCAGCCTAAGTTAGCCTATAGAAAATGCTGATGCTTGGTCTGACTGTTAAATCAAGCTGCTTTTCAGGGCTGAGCTAGCTGCTTTACTCACACTTGGAAGTCGTGATCCTGAGTCTGCAGCAGAAGGTAGCTGCTTAGAACCTTTCTTTCAAAAAACTGGCAATGAATTACTTTTTTCTTTCAAAATGTGACTGTTAGAGATAATGGTAGTGCTTTCCCCTTATTCAGTAGCTGAAACACTCATAAGATGTAAGATGTGTTGTATCATATTCATTAAATAACTAGGTTACCTTGGACTTTACCTAAGTGAAGGCTATTAAAAACATGACTGAGAGCTATCATTTGTTTCAAGGAATATTAATCTCAACTGTGTTTTTTAAGTAACTTGCATAACTCAGATTTAAGACATGTATCTTATTTGGTTGAGGTATGCATCTATAAAATCCCAATCTGGTTTGGGAGCATGTATGATTTTTGTTTCATTTCCTCCTCTAGTTTTTCACCAAAAGGCTTATAGTTCCCTCTCCTTGGACTGATCCTGAAGGCAAGCAAGTGTCCCAGTTCCATTCAACTAAATGTAAGTGGGGTTTGGGGTGAGGAGGTACGGTGTGCATGTGTGCGCACATACATTCTGAAAAGTATCTGCTAGAATACATTTGGAGATCTACTACCATGGTCTTTATCAGCTGTAGTTGTTTTGCACAATGAATGCATGTATGTTTCAGTTTTAGGAATTCTTTGTGGGAGATAGGGAATTACTGACAACCTGAGTTTGTGGGGAATGTAAATTTTGGGTGTGAAGTAGGTTTTGCCCACTGCCTGTCACATTACTATGAATTTGATTGTAACCCTAGTCTCTTAGTTTCTGGTCTGTCATATATTTTCAGTAAAATCTTCTCTCTTTGTTTCATTGACAAGGGCATTGGCAGTCCCCTTGTTCTAAGGTTGAAGCAGAGATTTTGTAGTGTAGTGGGAGACTGGACTTTATGGCTGAGGAGAACCCCTTCCAATCCTACCTTCCAAAAATGCATTTTTAAATTATTTTCAAAATCAGCCTAATTTTACGCCTTTTGATTTTGGTGGAACTGCTTTTTCACATAAAGAAACTGAAGTACTTCTGACCAGCTCTGACTATAACCTTCTTCTGGCTTCCTTGCTACTACTTTTGGAGTCCTCTCATCTCTCAAATCTTATAGCAAAAATTGTGTGTATTGGGTTTATACTAGAGATGCACTGATACATCAGTCCGATATTGGATCGTTACCGATTATAAAGAAAATTGAGTATATTGGAAATTGGCCTGATGTGGCCGATAATTTGGCCAATAAATGCCCATAGATTCATAGATGTTAGATGTTAGGGTCGGAAGGGACCTCAATAGATCATCGAGTCCGACCCCCTGCATAGGCAGGAAAGA